GAGGGTCATGGTCCTACTTTATTATGTTTATCTCAAAAAAATTTAATTGATTTGAAAGTTAAATATTTTTTTGTAATGAATTAATATGTGTTTGAAATAACTTTTATACTTATTCATTAAATATTAATTTAAATTATAGGTTTATTTTGTTATATTTAATAATAACTAAGAAAGTACAATACAAACAAACCACATAACAGGATCTTAGAATCTAGCTAATAACAAAGTAATAACTAATAAAGTCGTTTTTTTTTTTTATCAGCAAAACAAAAATATTTTATTAAATGGAGCACAAGGGGTACTCCTGCCCATCTATAAAGAGTATAAACTGCTTACACTCCCAACAAAAAAAATCAGAAAAGAAATTCCTGCACATAGCATGATGACAACCCAAAAAAAACTAAAGAAAACAACCGTCCCATTTGCCCATGTAAGAAATCCATACTTCCAAGAAAACTATTTGGGAGGATGTTGCTACTGATGCTTAGTAAACAATTTAAGAGATCTCTTGTAACGCTTCAGCTCCATTGCACATTCCCTGGGATTACTTTGCCACTGAGCTAATGGGAAAACACACCCATTCACCTTATTTCTAATCCAGAAATAAAACTTCACTTGAATTAACTCCAGCAATTGCTCTTTAAAATCCCCATTGCTCCTAAATACCAAAACATTCCTCCAATACCATAAATACCAAGAGGTGACCAAAAAAATGCATGCTCCCATCTCCTTACCCACCAATCTACCCAAACACCACAGGAAAAAATCCACCACACCCCTCACTATAGCCAGCATTACTACCTCTAGACCCCACCACTTAATCACCTTAACCCATACTAACCAAGCTACTTTACATGTGCAAAACAGATGATTAACATCTTCCACACCCTCTTTACAAAACCCACACACCATACCATCCCCTTGTAAAACCACCCCTCTCTTCCGCAAATTCCACCTTGTTGGAAGTCTAGCTAGACACAACCTCCACCCAAAAAACCCCACTTTAGAAGGCACCAACTTGCACCATATCAATTTGCACAATTGACCCTTAAGCAAGCATTCCACAGGAGCTAAAAATTCATATGCTGTCTTTACTACATATCTACCTTCTACAGCATACCTCCACTGCCATGAATCTGCCAAACCTTTCCTTAACTGTACACTCGCCAACACCACCCCCAACCCTTTCTCCTCATCCTTTTCATGACCCATCCTCTCTCTCATCCATTCTATGCCCCATTGCCAACATTCCCCTTCCCATGTCCCATTCTCCTTTACCATACCTTCTTTGTTTATGGCTAACTGAAAAAGCCTTAGAAATAAATCTCGTAGAGATTTATTCCCCACCCAAATATCCTCCAAAAACACACCCGACATCCATCCCCAACCTCCCATCGAAACCCCTGCCTTAACATATTTTTTAACTTCTCTGATTTCCCACCTATTCTGATAATGTCTCCCCAAATCTACAACACCCTTAAATTCTCCACATTCTCCACATCTGTAATACCCACCTCTTGCTTACCCTCGTAAAATTTCTCCTTCACTACCCTTTTCCACAACCCCTCCCTTCCATCCCCTAACCTATACCACCATTTTCCTAACAGCGCCCAATTTCTCCGATGCAAATCCGGAACCCCTAATCCTCCTTGTTCTTTACTCCAACAAAAAGCCTCCCATTTTACCCATAAGAACTTCCTTTTCTCCCCTGATCCCCCTCACAAAAAAATCCCTTTGAATATTAACTAATTGAGCAAGCACAGAATTCGGCATATAAAATAATGACATAAAAAAAGTAGGAAGTGCAGAGAGTACCGAGTTTAGCAACGTGAGACGGCCCCTGAAGGACAGCAAGACAGACTTCCAAACGGCAAGCTTCTAGCAGAACTTACTAACAACCGGAACCCAAAACTTCTTACACCTTGGATTTCCTCCAAGTAGCATTCCCAAGTAAATAAAAAGTGTCTTCCTTACATCACAATGCAAAACTCCTGCTGCTCCTCGCACCCAACTATCTGACATATTAAAACCATACACACAACTCTTGCTGAAATTAATCCTCAACCCCAACATCAACTCAAACCACCTTAGAATAGCTTTTACCATGAGAATATTTTCCTTGTTAGCCTTACCCAAAATAACTATGTCATTTGCAAATTGTAACAAAGAAACAACCAGTCCCCTCCTACCCACCTTTACCCCGTGTAGCAGTCCTTCATTTTCTGCTTTTTTAACCAGTCCATGCAATGCCTCTCCAACCTTTAGAAATAAAAAAGGAGACAAAGGATCTCCTTGCTTGAGCCCTTTCCCCATTTCAAACTCCTTTGTCAGACTGCCATTTACCAACACCAAAACCCTGGCAGTTGATAAACACTCCATAATCCACCCCCTCCATTTATCTCCAAAGCCAAACGCATCCAGCATCCTATCCAAAAATGACCAGTTAACACAATCATAAGCTTTTTGAAAATCGGCCTTAAAGACAAAAGCTGGTTGCTTCCTCTTGCGAACCTCATCCACAACTTCATTTAGAACCAAAACACTATCAACCAACTGTCGTCCCCCGACAAAAGCCGATTGCATTTCGCTAACAATCTCTAGCATCACATCCGTAAGCCTATTAGCTAACACCTTCGCTAGCAACTTATACATACAACCAATTAAACTAATAGGCCTAAAGTCTTTTAGTTCCCTAGGGTTCAACTTCTTCGGAATTAATGCAAGAAAAGAAGAATTCAATCCCCTCACTAACCTACTGTTTTGGTGAAATTTCTGAAAAAAAGCAACTAAGTCTTCCCTTACACTCCTCCAGATGAATTTAAGAAAATTAAAATTATACCCGTCAAGTCCTGGAGCTTTACTTCCATCACAACTCTTCAAACCTTCTTCAATCTCCTTAGCAGTAAAAGGCCTTTCAAGCCACTCCTTCTAATCCTTAGAAATTCTCCAAAAAACCAGATTTGAAGGTTTGGGTCAGTTCCAAGCGTCTTATTGAAACATCTTGCGAAAGTACTTCACCATCTCATCCTTGACCATATCTGGATCCTCTACCCACTGACCATTAGACCATAATCCCGAGATACTATTTTGGGCCTTCCTCCCATTTGCAATTTTGTGAAAATCTCTCGTATTCTGATCCCCCAGTTTAACCCAATCACTTCTAGATTTTTGCTTCCAAATATTTGCTTCCAAATAGCCTCCCTTTTCCACAAAATATCCCATAACTGCTGGAAACCTTCCTTTCTCAGATCCACCTCCCCTTCCTCCAATTCTATCAATTCATTCTTCAAATCAATCTGTTCTATGCTATTGGCCACATGTTGAAATTGTGCTTCCATGTTTCCAAACGCCTCCTTATTCCATCATTTTAAAAATTCCTTCAACCTCTTAATCTTCTGTTTACATCTATATCACGCGTATCCTTCCTCATCAAAATCCTTCCATTTATCTTCAACCACCTTCTTAAACTACGGGTGCTATTGCCAAGCATCCAAAACCCCAAACGGTTTTGGTCACCAATCAACTATTGTTGTTTTTACCACAATAGGAAAATGATCAAACATAGTCCTCTTCAATCCGTGCTACACCCATCCCTTTCCCAAACTGTACATCTCACCAGACATTAGGACCCTATCCAAACGACTCATAGATGACCCATCTGGTCGATACCATGTAAAACTTTTATTTGCCAATTGAATATCTACCAACCCAATTGACACAACAAACTCATCAAACTCCCTCATATCCTGAGACTCCCCTATCTTACCCTTCCTTTCGTTGGGACTCCTAACTACATTAAAATCCCCTGCAATCATCCATCTACCTTCCTCTTCCATTATCATTTGCCGAAGTTCTTCCCACAGTATCACTTTCTTCTGCTTGTCATTTGAGGCATAGACATTCACAAAGTTACGCTTTATCTTCTTAGGTCCACATTCTCCTATAATCCGCAAAAAACCATCACCTAAAATTACCCCCTGTTTTACAAACTCTAGTCTATTCCAAATACACAATAAACCCCAGAGGCTCCGATTGATTCCTTCATCACCCAATCATAATCATCTGAAAACCACAACATTTTACATAAA